TATCATGGAAGACTTTTATTGCTCCATCTATTTTGAATGATAGTTTTGCTGGGTAGATTATCCTGGGGTTGAAGTTATTTTCATTCAGTGCCAGGAAGATCTCACCCCAAGTTCTTCTTGCTTTAATGTTTCTGTTGAGAAGTCTGCTGTGATTTTGATAGGTTACTATTGTAGTGTTATTTGTGTTTTTTCTTTGTGTTTCTCTGTTACAGCTTTCAATATTCTTTTTCTAGTTTCTGTACTTGTTTTTTAATGATGATATGCTGTGGGGTAGTTCTGTTTTGATCTGCTCTGTTTGGTGTTCTGTAGGCCTCTTGCATCTGTATGGGAATAGATTTCTCTAGATTTGGGAAATTTTCTGTTATTATTTTGCTGAATATCTTAGGCATTCCCTTACTTGCACCTCTTCTCCTTCTTCAATGCCCATGATTCTCAGGTTTGGTGTTTTGATGGAGTCAGTTAGTTCTTGCATTTTCTTTTCACAGGTCTTGAGTTGTTTAACTAATAGCTCTTTGGTTTTTCCTTTAATTACCATTTCATCTTTGAGTTATGAGATTCTGTCTTCTGTTTGTTCTATTCTGCTGGATTGGCCTTCCATTTTGTTTTGCAATTCTGTTTCATTCTTTTTTCTGAAGTTTTCCATATCCTGAGTCATTTCCTCTTTAATGTTTTCTATTTTTGTCCTGAGTTCATTTATCTCTTTATTAATCATGTTCTTCGTTTCACTTTGGTGTTTATACAGTGCTTCTATGGTTTCTTTTATTTCTTCTTGTGCTTTTTCAAATTCTCTATTTTTGTTGCCTTGGAATTTCTTGAGTGTCTCCTGTACGTTTTGGTTGACCATATCCAGTATCATCTCTATGTAAAAATTCTCATTGATTACCTGTAGTATTTTCTTCTTTTAGATTGTTCTTGTGGGCTTCATTGGGTTTGCGTAGTTTATCTTCATTTGTTGAAGTCTGTATCTGAGTACTGTTTTTCATTTCCTTCTGGTTCCTGTACTAATTTTTTGCTGTGGGGAAAACTGTTTTCCTCTTGTTTTTCTGTCCTTCCTGTCATTGCCCTTGGTGTTGTTACTGTCCCTGTACTGTGTGCAATTAAGAATTTTCTAGCTTGTATAATAACAATGGTGATATTTAGAATGGAAGGGTGAGAGAGATGGAAAGCAAAAAACAAATAAACAAGTAGAAAAAAACAAAACAACAAAAACAAAAGTTTCAAAGATATAAACAGGAGAGATAGTTGTACTATATCAACAATAAGCTGAACAGGCAGTTCAAGAGACAGAGAGAGGATTGAAAATAAAAAATAAAAAATTAAAATTAAATGAATAAATATAAATAATAAAATATATAATGAAGTAAAAAAAATCTCCAAGTTTCAAATGCAATAAAGTTTCAATTCTAATCATTTTGGTGTTAGTTCCTCAGCTTCCAATCCTGGAGATGGTGTTTCTCAGAAGTAGTTCTGTCATTGTCTCATCAAAGGGGTAAAAAACTAAAAACAAAACAAAACAAAACAACACAAAACAAAAACCCCCCCCCCAAAGTGTCCCAACTTCAAATGCAATACATTTCAGAAAGTTTTCAGCATGCAGGTGTAGTTTGGTTGTTGTCTTATCAAAGGTAGGGAGAGAAAAAACAGAGTCTTGAGACAGTTCTGTAAATGACTATCTGAGGCTGTGGCTTGCCTGCCTAATGCTGTCAGCCTGCTGTTGTCTGGCGGCGTTTATTGTGCAGATCTTAGAGTGGAGCTTAACACGTCACCTAGCCCCTCAGGCTTTGTTTACTTAGAGTTCTCCTGGGGCGACCCCACTGTCTACAAACTTTCCCCTTTCCAAGCACACTGGGGAGGTGACACTGCACCAGCTATTCTCCATCTGCATGTTTATTACACTTCACATGGGAAGTTGGTCTTCCCCCCTCTCCTGTGGAGTTTTCCCCATCGCCACTTTTACAAGCTTTCCTGCTCCTGGTTCTGGGGCATGTGCCGCTGCTCCTTGCCTTCTCCAGCTGGCTTGTTGTGAGTGATTTCCCCTCCCCCCTTCAGTGCTCAGGGCACTCCGCCCACTTTGCTATGCGTGTTTTTTGTTTTTATTGCTTATTATTTAGTTTTTTTTCTTTTTCCCTAGTGGGGCCATCAGTCTGTACAGGGGCTCATGCTGATTCTGGCCCAGGGTTGTCTGTGGGAGTACCTAGTGCCACTTGCTCACCTTGTGGTTGCACGTCTTCCCAAGCCATCTTGGTTTGCTTGTCTGGTGCAGCATGGGAGCTCTCCTGTTTCTCGCATTTTAATGTTGAAGTGGAGATGCTATGTGTGGGCTGGAGGTGTGTGAGGAGTCAAAGTTTGTTGCCTCTTTCTTGGTGGTTTTTCCTATAAGGTGTATCTCCACATCTCTCCAAGATTTTTACTTTAGGAGGCACAGCTCTGTTTTCCTCCCTCTAACTGTCATCTTGGAATCTTGTCCTTATGTTATATCTTTATTGGGTTTTGGAATGAGTGTAATGCTCATACACACACAACTCAATGTAAACTTGTAAACGTAAATATTCACCAGAACTTCTAATATTAATATTGATTCTATTTGTAAGTGCAAGGCAGAATCAGGGTGGTTTTCAAAGAGTGGTCCACAGAATATGCGTCATTATCTGAAAATGCTTGTGCAAAAGTGTTTTAGTTAAGTGAGTTGTGGAAATACTGTAAAATATATCTTGTCTTAGAGATTCATCCTGTCATTACTATATGGAGTGCTCAATTGTAATTAAGAGAAAAAACTAATGAACTTCGTTTAACTCAGAGTTTTCCAGACCTGTTCTTCCAAGTTAGATTATTGCTTCTTTACTTCTTATGGCATCCAATTTTTGAAACACTTTGATAAATACTTATCAGTATCCAGTGGCTTGTAAGTCCAATTGGACCAAGCTGGAATTTTTAGTTTTACAACTTAGTTTTTTATGAAGCCAAAGACTTCTTGTGGACCATTTACTTAAAGAGTTATTGGTAAATATATCAATACTTCCAGGAAATAGGGGAGGGAGGCTAAAGAAGAATGATGGAGAGGGTAAATTCAAGTATGATATATTGTAAGAACTTCTGTAAATGTCACAATGTACTCCGTGTACAATAATAATATGATAATAAAAGACAAATTCAAATAAAATTAAAGAAATAAAGTAAATGACATACTGTCTAACATAAATTTTAGTTCACCTATCTAATCTTTCTTTCCCTTAACATTCAAGGAGGTCCTGAAATCTCATTTATTTTGTGAAATCTTTCCTTAATAACTGACCTAGAAAGGTACTCTTTTTTATTGTTGTGCTGGGCATACAATGTGGCATTTACAAAACTTTTTACAATGTATCAAATATATCATACCTGAATTCACCCTATAAAGAGGTACTCTTAAACTAAACTTATTTGAAGTAGATCTACACTTCTCTTGACTATATTTTCAAATATTCAGCACAAAATACATTCCCTTTATCAATATATACTGTCACTGAAACAATGCTAATAAATGGCCCTTATGTCATGAAGAGGTGAAGCTCATGTAGTTCTAGGAAAGGGAGTGCAGAGTGTGAATTTTTTGGTATTAGGTTCATCAGGTAGACAAATGCTAAGATTATTGGAATAAGTGAGAGAAGATTCTTCTGAGGCTCTCTGAGTCAATAGAGAAGTGGCAGAAAAATCTTATTTTGTGTCTGAATAGCTACTATCATCAGGAAAGAACATAGTGATAGCATGAAATAAGATACCAGTTTTGCCCCTGGGTTTTGATTCTTATTGCCAACTACCTTGAACCTTCTAACTTTGTTGTGGGGGTGATACAGGAGAATAATGGAGATGGTGAATTCAGCTGTGATATATTGTAAGAACTTTTGTAAATGCCACACTGTACCCCCAGTACAACAATAATATAGTGACAAAAAGAAAAAATTACACTATAAAAATAATGCTGAAAGGACTGTACTTCTTGTCCTAATCAAGAATACTCAAAGGAAAAAGATAAACAAATATAACTTATTCATGAAGATGTTTAAGAAAAAATTCAGGGTGGCCTGAGCAGCAAGAATGCCCATTATGCACCTGTGATGTTGGAATGGAGTGCAAGCATGACAAGAAAAGCTAATTGGTATTAGTAGGTCAGGAGCACAGATGGGGCTCTTAGGATGATTCATCAAGGTGCCCATCAGTCTCCTGAGAAGCAGGTGCATCAGGTATTCATCTCACTTTTGTTGCCTCTATTTTTAAAAAGATATTTTTATTATTTATTGTTGTAACTGGGGATATATTGTGACAGTTACAAAAGTGCTTACAATATATCTTAGTTAAATTCACCCTCTCCATTATTCTCCTTTATCTCTTTCTCTCCCCCTTCTTAGGATAGTTTTAACAGGTCTCATTTTTCATATAAGTGTACATAATATTTCTACCATGTTCACCTTCCTTTACCCTTGATCTTTGTCTGTATGTCCTGACTCATCCCAGCAAGGTCTTAATTCAAGATTGTCTTGAGAAGGCAGAGACAGATCTCACCTGTCAGTTAACTGTTCAATTTTAATGGTGCATATGTGAGACAAATCAACCCTCCTTTGCTAGATTTTACTCTCATAGCATGACTTTGGAGTGTATCATTATGCTGAAAACTCACTTTATTCTATAGAAGATAAGAGGAAGTAGTAAAAAGTATGATAAGGGAATGGATATTATCTATCCACTCTTGTACCCTGTGGATTTCCTGAACATTCATTTTGATCAACTCATTTGGACAAGAGTCCTCTTAATGCAGAGAAGAGTGAGGAATTGTAGGCAGCTTATAGAAATGAATGGTAGCTGAGATGTGAATGGCTAAGTGTTGGCTTTGCACTCAGAAAGACCTTGATTGGAGTGTAGACTGAACTACTTATTGACTCTGTCACCTTGACCTATGCCATACAGTTTTCTCTGAGTATATACAGATACATATAGCATAGTGGCTGTAATGACATCATACTTACATTGCCAGCATTATTCCACTCCTTGGGAGCAAGCTTGACATCATGGGCTCCATGCATGGGCTCTATTTGATATGAGACAATTATAGTCCTTGCCACACAGATCAATACAGAGATGAGAAATGACCTGGGCCTATTCCAATCAGTGCATAGCTTTGCCTTGACATCTGTGATTGGATAAGGGTGGTCCAATCCGAGTGAGGTGCAATTAATTTTCAGAAGACATATATTCCCTCTTGCCTTGAATGTTGAGGTTTAAGATGAAAAGTCTGGGAATCTGCAGCAGCTTTTTTTTTTCTTTTTACTGCCATGGAAGATGACAGTCTGCAAATAAAACTACTATACAGAGGTATAAATAATAAAGTGAATGACAGGAAACAAAGTCTGCTCAAATATATTCTTCCAAAGCTTGCCCTACTTTTGGATGTTTTAGTTGGGTAAATAGATTTCCTTGTGTTTAATTTGAGCTGTGTTTTCATTACTTGCAAAATGAGGTACCTTAACTAGTAAGTGTACTATATGAATCTCAGACCTGCCATATATGTTAGTGATAAGAAATATAGAGAAAAATAAAGGAAGGGAGGAGGAGAGAAAATATTGCAGTGAGGGTGATAAATACGGACAACAAAATGAGGAAAGGCTGACTGAGAATGCCACCTTTTAGCAACACCTGAAGGAGGCAAGTGAGAAAGCCATAAGGCCACCTTGGTGAAGTGTTCTTGGCAGATGGAAAAGCAAGTGCAAGGGCCCTGAAGCAAGACTTTGCCTGGCAATTTCTGACAACAGAAAGGAGGCCAGTGTGACTAGACTATGGAAGACCGATGGAGAATATAAGAGAAGGTCAGAAAGGTTAGGTGAGTTGGTTAGACCATGAGAAGTTTTAACCCCTGGGAGATAGAGCCTAGGAGGAATTGACAAAGGCTAAATGAGGCTGTAAAGGTGAGGTTATTGCCTGCTAGCATTGGTGCCCTTTAGAAGAAGAGGAAGAAACACTGAACTTGCTCTCTGTCATATGATGACACAGTGAGAAGGTGGACAGAAGAGGACCTTCACTAGAAACGGATCGTGTTGGCATCCTGATCTTGGACTTTTAAGTCTCTGTAACTGTGAGAAATAAAATTCTGCTGCTTAACCATCCACTTCATGGTATTATATTTGTAACAAGTAGAAAAACACATTGTCTCAACATGGCAATTAGAGGACAAGGAAATTAAGGCAAATAGTAAACTTTGTTGACATTAGAATTCTCTCAGAGGTAAACTACAACAGGATGAAAAATTTTACTACCAATTATTTGAAATAATTAAGGGCTATCAAGCTATGATAACATTCTCCAATGAATGAAATCAGAGTAGCAAGCTGCTGGGAGAGTTGATAATTATATCTAATGAATTGTAAGCAAATTGTAAGTGTTCAGTGCCTTTGATTTTGCTATTAACCTCCTTCTCTTATTTAGAACCTGTGAATTTAGTCAAGGGATAAGGCTGGCTAGATCAGATGTGCTGACAAGGGACAAAACTGAAGGACAGAAGGAGAAAGGGGTGCTCAAGAACCCCTCAAGAATTTTGTGAGAAGCTCTTCCTATCCAGTTGCAAACCAAAAAACAGCAGCAAAAATAATAGTAACAACAGGACAAAAATGAAACAAACCCTTCCACCTGTCTTCCGGAGCACAGAAATTTCTTCTCTTAATGTCTCCATTTATCCCCTGCTAGTAGCACACAGACCATCTTACTCTGAGTAGAAATCAAGAAAAAAAAAACTACTCAATTTAAAAGCAAGAGTTCACTTCTGTTTATGGTTGACTCTATTATGTACCACATGGAAAGGAATGGTTGTGGCTAGACCAGTCACAGACTTGTAAAAATTTGTTTTAATTTTGCTTAAATTATTGGAATCGTTTTTTCCTTTTATTTTAGTTAGCATATATATATATATATATTTGTATATGTATGTGTGTGTGCTTACCCCAGTTTATTTAATTATATTAAAATTTTCTAATTCTAATAAGTTAAAATTTATTAGATTGAATTAAAGTCATATTAAAATCCTCTGCCTTCTCATGAATATATCCAGGAGAGGGGAAGGAAACTAGCTTTGAAGCCTACTGGTCAACGATAGAAGATTATCTGTTGTGATTAAAATTCAGCCTAGGGAAACACACAGTGAATTCAATTTGCATGTAGAAAACTTGTTATACACAAAGCTTGTAGCTACTTGTAATCTAAAGTTTCCTTTGCTTTTATTCATCCATTAAGTGATGATGAAGGCTTCTGCTGTTGTGTTCTACAGGGCTTACTTGTGAAATGACTATCATGTTTCTTGATTCTGGCCATCAGGAAACCCCAGTGAGCACAGGTCTTCTCAGGCTTTGTTTATTAGATCTTCTTCTCTAACCCTTTCTGTGTAATATCACAGCTCAGTACCTGTCAATATTTAAATGGAAGACCCTGAAAGAGCTCTAGTTCTTATGTTCTCTGCCAGCGGTGATCTTCATGGCCCCAGCTTTTGTTGTGACCTCTATGCCTTGATATTTTAAAGAAAGATTAAATGGCATAGTATTGGCTGTGATGATGAAGATTACCAAAATGACAAATAATTGACCCTTTAATTAGATTTAAAACAGGTTTATTGAGCCGTGAGGCTGTCAGTGGTAATGAGATTTTTATTCTCATTTTCTCACATCTCTTTTAATTTATAGCAGTGTTGGAAAACTTGTTTTTAAGGGCCACCCAAAGTATGATTCATGGCTTCTGCTCATGGATATCTTAAGCTCATTAGAGAATTATGAAGATGCATAATGCCCAGGGTAAACTAAACTCTCATAAAACACTTTGCTTAGGGTGAAATTGATTTTAAATGTGCTGGGGGGAAATGAGTATTAGTTAACCTTAGATTAATTCCCTTTAGTTTCAGGACTACATTATATGGGGACAAGGTAGATCTTTAAATTAAATATGGCATAATTAAAAGTGCAATAAATTGGAGGAATTACTTTATTTGATATCATTTCTATGCAGTCTGGTCTCACCATGTGATTCTGTTTGGTGCTGTCAATGAGTGGTGACAAATAGGTGCTGAATTTTGGCTATCTTATTCTTCACTGTAATCACCCTTTATTATAATGCTTATCTGCAAGGGTACATTGATCAGAAAATGCCCATTAATTACACTGCTAATGGTCAACAAGTGAGAGGATTATGCTAGAATGAATAGGGAATGAACTCCATGTACCTCCGGGATAGCCATGTGACCACAGCAGTAACACCGTGGGCAATGCTGAGTTGGTAGGCAAGGCTGCCAGCTTGAAGCCAGCAGGTAGCCTGCATTATTGACCTTTCATTTACTTGGAAAACTGCAGGGGCCTGAAGCCCAATATTATTAAGCAATGATACTCAGCTTCTTTGGCATGGCAAGGCATGGGGAATTTAGCCTTCTGATAACGGATGGAGATAAAGATGTTTCAAAATGACATGTCTTGATTCTTCTTTAGGTTTTTGATTTCTTTTCTGCTCTGAAGAGAAATGGGATTTCAAACATGAGCCCAAAGTTTTTATACTTAAATGTGAAATAGGGTAAAGAAAATGATTTTTAGATAGTTGCTTCCAAATATTTAGTAGGTTAATGGGTACATTTATTTAGAATACTTATATATTGATTTCCATACACCGATTCCTATATGATTCAGAGCTAGAATAATGCTTACTAACATTCCAATATGCCATAGTTAAAACATCTTAATCCAGTAGTATTTAACCTTAAGCTTATTGGTACTGAA